CAGGCTGATATACAGACTGATGTACAAGGACTTGACATACACATGCCTCAGATGTGTATCGGAATTTAAAATTACATATTAACTACTGTTATTTAAAGAGACCAAAGAATCTATGTTCTGTTCCAGTAAGGAAAATTAAAGTTGCCTTCAATCACCTATGGAAATGAAAATGTGATTCATAATAAATTCAATAGAACAGATATTATATCAGGACAGAAATCCAATGCTATGTATAATTACTGTATGACAGGAACGATCACGCGAGTGGCATGTTATAGCTTTATATAAGCCTGGTCCCTTTTTAAAGTACATAGCATTTGGTATAGCAACATATATTTGTATATTGGACTTTTTTAATTCACTTGTCCCAAGTAGATGTCGTTAACTAAACAAATTAACATAAATACCTCATTATGTACTTTTAATTGATAATCATGTCACTGAAAAAAACAGCATGTTTCATTCATTACTGAAGTGCTTTATAAAAATATATCGTGGCAAAGTGTTTCAGAGATATTATGCATGTGTCAACATGTCTGATTGGATTCATACTAAGTATGATTACTTTGTATTTTAGCATTTTATTACTTATTTCAACTTCCATTATAACCCAAAGTAATATAAGCAACCAGAGACATTAATTTAAAAGTCAAAGAAAAAAATTCAACTATCTAAGTTTCAAAATGCAGTGGAAACAGCCCATTGATACGCCAAACAAAAGTTTACTCTTACTCTACCACACATAATTTATTACAATAAAAAATTAACATACTTCCTTAGAGAAATAGTTTTACCAAGCTAACTTCATCACCTTAACAAACAGTGTATTATGTCAGCTGTCTGTTACATTTTACCTGCAATTTGTGTTATAGTTAAGGCTGTATGCTGTCTTAGACACAATACATATGACTTGTGTTATAGTAACCATTCTTTTTTTTTTAGTATCACTATTCAATATTTTAATATTACCAGGTACCCAACTTATAGTAACTTTGATGTTTCATCAAATAATTAATAGCACCTGGTGATTCAGTAGTTATTAATGAAGTCCAAGTTATCCTTCATCCAAGGTATTGAGAGATTTTGTTGTAGACCTCTTTTGGAATTGAAAAGATGTTGCTGTAACATAGCATACATCCTTAACTAATACAATACACCAGAGTCAGTGTGAATAACACTAAAACTAGAGTGTATCCCAAAAACTAAAGAAAACCACTTCATTAACCCTTTCACCCCTATGTTAAACTTTAGTAGACTCTACCATGCATTGATATGGATGAGTCCATTATGGTCGACAGTGGTGAAACGTTAAATTGGGGGTTATCTACAATAATCTTAAGTATATTAACTCTGAAGTGGTATCTTGGCTATTAAGATAATTCTTCATGTGTTCAGATACCAGGACTTATGAATACACTTATATCAAGTTCTGCTGTCATTTGAATGGATATATAGTGTCAAATCTTTGAGTCAATAAACTATTGTCAATAAATCGCTTACAGTAGCCTCACAATAGAAAAGTTACAGCAAACAGGCCATATACATCACCACTCCTAATCAGCTTAGATTTTGTTTTGCAACTTCAATCTGGTGTGAAATCAAAATCGCACAACTTTATAAGATGCCTATCGCCAACAATAGAGGAACTCAAGAATCAGACTGCAGCACTGGTGAGAAATAGACAGACGACAACAAAATAGTATGTATACTAGCACACCCCAGCATGCCGTCTCTTGTTATGGAGGCAAATGAAATGTCTCCTACATCAACTGGTGTCAGGCAAAAGTCAGGCGTGAAAAATCTCCAGTTATAAAGTGGCTGTCAAGTGATAAGTCAGTGGCCATGAAAACCTGGCCTGTCATCAGGGATAGAACTTCCAGTGATTTTGTGAATCCCTGCTTGGCTTCCTTTGATCTGTGTTACTACAGAAAATGGCATCACCCTCGATGTGCACAGCAGATCTGGAGGTGTTAAGTCATTAGACTGCCACCCCCTGACTGCATCAATGCATTACAGCCTAAGCCACAGGTAGCGGCTTTATTTGGCCTCGTGTGACATTCCCACCCTGCACTGACCCGTGATACTGGAGGGGAAGTGTGCTCCCTACTTATACACGGCACCTTATACAGAGTGCTTCTCACTCCCGCTTAAAATGATATTGTTCACAGGACTTTTTAAAACCAGCAAAACTTTTTCCCTATTTTTTTCTTCGACCAAATTAATGGAATGAAATTAAGCCTAATCTCACAAAAATAGAATGTTATCTCCCGGCTTTGAAACTAGGAATTCAATGCGGCCATATTAGGTGCCCCATTTCAAAGGAGTAAAACATTCTAATCCAACTAATTGTAGAGAAGTAACGTCACAGATCTATTAAATCATGTGACACACCAAATCTTTGTCTGTACAAGGCTCTCTAAACCATCCAAGCCAACTTTATCTAAACTGGCGGGTACAGAATACCTCCCTCTCTATAATTATCCCGAGTCAGATAAGTGACACTATTTATCAATAGCTACCACTGGAATGTCCCTTTTTGTCATCATCTCAGGAAATAATCACATCCTTCCTAGCTAGTGCTGTTAGCTTTAACGTGCAGAGAAAGTTTGTTTCATATTGTAAATGAGATGGGTTACATTACATTCACAAAAGTTTCAAACAGATTTGCTATCAATTGTGAAGTACTCATAATTTATAAAACTGTACAGTCAGTAGTAGACAAAAGTATTCCTGAAAGTCTCTAGATCTACTCATATCTAACCTTGTATCAGTCACACCAATGCTTTGTAGCGTGGATATATACGTCATCAGATCTATAATTAGTAGGAGTTAGTCTGTAACATAGCGACTAATTACAGACATTTCCTTAATCACCTATACCGTCAAATCACAAGTATGCCACAAGGTGCAATTCCCCAGGTTTAGCACTAATTAGACACATATGTAGACAGTTATTCCATTTGATATAACTAAATAACGCTTTACCACTACCATCAGATAAACAACAAAATGTCTATCATTCAAACTGTTTAGTACATCTGTATATAAACTACAGCACATTGTATAAATATAACACTGCAATGTAAACATCAGATAAGAATTAAAATCACCTACAACATGGTCAAGTCAACACTCCTCAATAAAACAAATATGGACATACATGTATTAGGGGATTTAACATGTTTAATTACGACAGACCGATCCACTTCTAGGATCCACTTCTAAATTTAACACCATTTCCTATTTTGAGGTGAGCCTAGTTGTTTTGTTGACCAAACTTTCCATTACATACGACCACAACAGTACCAGGTCCAGACCAAATATCCCGCTGGTTTTTATCAACACCAGTGAAAGTTAAACAATGACTCATAATCCCAAAACCCTACTTCACAGAAATACCAGCAATATTGATTGACACCGAAGGGATAGCTTTCTTTAACGGGTCATGCACTGCCTTTTTTCATTATAACTTTAGGTCACACACCAACAATGTTCTGTAGTAGTTATGTATTGCCTTGTGCCATCTCCAGTGTATAACAGCAATTGGTTTAATATAACGCTTGGTTAACCTTGAAACTCTATCAATGCCGAGTTGGAATCTCTCTAAAAACGAAGTGAGGAAGGTTATTCCGCACACAAATGTCGGTCATATTAAAAATACCAACTGCTTTGAACAAGTGACACATCTATTTGGTTGACATAGAAAGGTATGGCGTGCCACATCTATTTGGTTGACATAGAAAGGTATGGCGTGACATCACATCTATTTGGTTGACATAGAAAGGTATGGCATGACACATCTATTTGGTTGACATAGAAAAATATGGCGTGACACATCTATTTGGTTGACATAGAAAGGTATGGCGTGACATCACATCTATTTGGTTGACATAGAAAGGCATGGCGTGCCACATCTATTTGGTTGACATAGAAAGGAATGGCGTGACATCACATCTATTTGGTTGCCATAGAAAGGTATGGCGTGACACATCTTTTTGGTTGACATAGAAAGGAATGGCGTGACATCACATCTATTTGGTTGACATAGAAAGGAATGGCGTGACATCACATCTATTTGGTTGCCATAGAAAGGTATGGCGTGACACATCTATTTGGCTGACATAGAAAGGTATGGCGTGACATCACATCTATTTGGTTGCCATAGAAAGGTATGGCGTGACACATCTTTTTGGTTGACATAGAAAGGAATGGCGTGCCACATCTATTTGGTTGACATAGAAAGGCATGGCGTGCCACATCTATTTGGTTGACATAGGAAGGTATGGCGTGACACATCTATTTGGCTGACATAGAAAGGTATGGCGTGACATCACATCTATTTGGCTGACATAGAAAGGTATGGCGTGACATCACATTTTTTTGGTTGACATAGAAAGGTATGGCGTGACACATCTATTTGGTTGTCATAGAATGGTATGGCGTGACACATCTATTTGGTTGACATAGAAAGGTATGGCGTGGCACATTTATTTGGTTGATATAGAAAGGTATGGCGGAAGGGGAATCCATAAACCTGAGAACAATGCACCATTTATATAATGGCAAATAACCATTTAAGATGATATAACTAATTGTTTAATCACTTTGTACTTTATTAAGAATTCCACGGAAGTGGATTTGTCACTTTCCACTGCTGGCAGCTTAGCCCTTTCACCACTGTAGACCATAAATGGACTTATCCATATCATTGCATGGTAGAGTTTATTAAAGTTACATAGGGGTGAAAGGGTAAGTTAAATCAGATTTGGGTCAAAATTGATCTTGAACAAGAAATTGATACCATATAAGCATGTTTAGAAAGTTTCAAGAAAGTCAAAATATTTCTTCACAAGTTATCGCACAGAAACCATTTCAATAGATAATGCTGGCGGCGTGATCACCTTTACATTGCTGGCGACACAAAAATAGATATAAACTAAACAATGATATATTTGAATTTTGAAGTATTTTTTACAAAGTTAAGGTTGCTGTGGACATACCTGTGGTAGTCTGTGATACAGTAGATCTTATTATCTACGTCTATAGTAAAGGGAACACCGTCAAGGCAATCATTACACACACAGCATCGGAAACAGCCAGGGTGGTACGACTTCCCCATTGCCTGTAGGATCTGCAAAACAATGGTCACGTGAACAGATACGGCTATTATATATACAAGCATGTTAAAATCATGGCATCATTTTTCGCATAAAATGTTGAAAACTAAATGGTCAAATATGTGCAGTAATTTACTCTATACAAGTTACAAGTATGAAGACATGGAAACAAAGATCAACAAATAAGGTCAAGGTATTATTGTAAAACATACAAATATATATTAAGTGGCATTTATGCGTGAATTGGTAAAACAAAACACAAATGTCACAGAGGAATCTTAATTGATTAAAGTGACCATAATGGTAAAAAGACAAAATGTGTTCAGAGTAAATCTGTTATAGGGAGTTCTTTAATCAGACCAACCATCTTATTTCATACCAAATTTCCTAGTTCTTTTAAATGATACGCAATTAAATATCATGAAATGGAGCATATTCTCTTGACTGAATCTTGACTGAATCTTAATCAGTTCATGTATCCTTTCTAATGCTCTGTTGCGTATCTGTTATGATTCATACAAATTCCAAACAAAAACACCGGGTTTGTATCATCTACTATAAAAGTGACTAATCTTTTGGTGATGTTTGTTAGTAATGGCTATGACAGAAGTTCATGTCTATATACTGGAGCGCTGCCCAGTCGCTGCCCTGTACTCCCACCCTGTACCTACAGACCTGGCTTTCCTGTGTGTGCACACATGCATGACAGCCGTACATGCACATCCAGACCAGCAACAATACAGTGCAGCAATACCCTGCAGTATTACCTCTGGCTATAAACGTCCACCTGATAATTCTCCTATCATCACTCAGAGAAAAGTAGCCATAGATTTGGGTTAACCGATACAACTCATCTGCTTACAGCCTCCAGGGCTTCCGACCCCAATCTTTTGTTACTCTTGTTCAACATGCAGGTTTTGCCTGTTGAGAACCACCTAAATATCATAGCGAATCACTGTAATTTTGTTATGCTCCTTGTATACTACTTTTCTTAGAAGAAAATAAATCAATCAAAATTATGTTTTTTTGAGAACTTTTGCCGTCATTGTAGAATTTACTACATGTTAGCTTAGATTTTTCCAATATATACTTTTAAGCTGTACTGTACTTTACAAACTCTGAATTACAATTTCTTAATATATACTGGGAAATTTTCATAACAGTTTAATTTTTGCCCTCTGAATGGAGGTGAAAGTTTTTTGTATACATTATATTGTACTAGCTTGGTAGTATGCTAGAAGCTCGTTAATTCCACATGAGAATTTTTTTTTTTTCCTTCTCAAATTCTGGAGGACAAAATATTGCAACTATTATTTTATGATCTTGTTATCAACAATTTGTAAGTTCCTGTTTCTGTAGTATTCAACACAATTGTGATCTACTGGTAACCATGGCATCCAGCCATGTGTTATCTTGGCCAGTTTACATAAACAAGCTACAAAACAGTGTTTGGCACATTTTGAGATTCTCCTTGGATTTATCACTGGTAAGCTGGCCCAGACCGGACCTGTTCCTAGCTTGTAGTTTCACCAACATCCAAGTACACTCTACAGTTGTGATTCACGGTGGGGGTGGGGGGGGTGGTGACGACAGTGTATTTGTCTATTTGATATATAATTAGCACTGATGTAGTACCTGTACGTATCTCCATTCTACCCTATCATCCCCACACTAGCACTCTTGTCTGATACACATCAGCTTGACTGTACATGGTTGATCACAGTATCTGTGTACACAATTTTATAGGGCTAGGACCGTTTAATGCTTGTTTGATTTAGTTGTACCAGTTGTTCATTTATGAAACAGGGTCAACCTAGTAGCTCTGGCAATCATTGGTAACAACCTTCAAGGCTTGCAATAACTTTTCAGGTCTGTCAGTCTTTTACATTTACAAGCAAATAAATCAGAGATATACAGACCTGGGGGGGGGGGGTCTGTATTATAGTAAAAAGTAATAGGGATATTTATATACAATATGGTTCAAAGTTTTTTAAAAATTCTTGTCAAATAATATTTTAATTGTTTCACAGCAAGTGACAAACAGCCAGGAAGTTGACATTCACCTCACTTTAAAAATAAACCAGTTTTGACCAGCTTTATACTATTTGATATTAACTACATGTACTGACAGCTGAATTGATCAGGAATGTAACACACTGTTGCAGCAGATCTGACAGGCTGTACTCACCATCTCCATGATGAGGTGTCCACAAACACAACATTTCTCTGCTGTCTGCTGGAACCCAGAGTACTGAAAAATACAAACAAATGTCCATCAGGATCTCGGTACACCTGTTCTAGATAGGAATGTGAGAGGCGCCTAAAGTGGCACNCCCTCCCCCCTCCTGATCCTGCTAGCATTACAAGCAAGCCCTGCCTGGAGCCAGACATTATATCCTCACTATTATGATCCCCAGCAGACAGAAATATATCCTTGTGTAAGTATTAACTTTCTTCCCTCCCCCCACAATATCCTGCTCCTAGCCAGAACGGTTCTAGTAGCAAGAAATATATCCTTGTGTATTACCTGTCTTCCCTCCCCCGCCACCTGATCCTAGCCAGAATGGTTCTAGTAGCCATAAATATATCCTTGTGTGTTACCTTTCTCCCCTCCCCCGCCACCTGATCCTAATCATCAGGTCCCTGTAGCCATACATGTTATGTAAACATTATCTCCCATCCCTTCCCCTCCTTGGTTTTAAACATTCTGAAACCTTCTTATTGAAGCACTATCACCCTCCCCTACCTCCTCTATAATTACCACCTCCTATATAATTACCACTGTAGTACTAAGTAGTACTTAGAAGTATATATTGCTGTAGAATTTTACCACACTTTCCCTTCCTTTTATCCTCCAACCCCTCCTCAGTTTAACCACAGCAGTACCTGCAGGAGAAGTATTCCTGTAGAATTATAACCTCCCCTTCCCCCACCTCCCCCATTCTAAGCATGCCCTTTGACACATAAGGTCCTGATGTAACTTATAAGCATTACACTACCTGTGAAATACATATTCCTGTATAACCTAGAAAACACTTAGTCACAAGCAAGGGATATATAAATTTATCACACTGACAAAGTTGATCTGGTATTATATTCTTTGTATTATATTTTCGCAGGTCTATAGGGTTAGAAATTAAGTAAATGACCTGGAAATAAAATATGCGTAAGTATGGAAGGGAAATGGTAGCAACCATATTGGTATTTAAGCATCCTCAAATCCTACACTGGACAACTAACAAAGGATTTTGCTATATCATGGAGACAAAAGCAATTTCAAACGATACGTTGGAAATGATAGCGATAAATTATATACTTTACAGTACAAAGCTTTGCAAAAGCACTGATGGCCCTTTAAATGACATCTTCTGGATTGAAAAACTTAATATACTACTTTTGGATATTCATACAGTATTGATTGATTCCAAAAAAAATCATTCATTCATACGTAAATCAACCACTACATCAATGTACATGTAGGTATGATGTTATCACTCCAACTTAACCGTCATTTCATCGCTTTCATTTAAAACTTTGATTTAATTCTCTAAATACCTAGAAGTTTAGTAGCAGAAAAAAGCCCCATTATATTGCTGGCTAGTTAACTCTGAACTATACACACCTAATCACCCAGGAAATCTTTTAATATTTACAATAGAACCTTCAGGGTAGAGTAAGTCAACCGTGGAAAGTGGAACATTAAGTTATTAGTGTTCATTGAACTTGACAAATATTGTTTTGTCTGTGGCTAGGTGGCTGGGTGTATATAGATAACCTGACATGTTTGTTTCCTCGGTCCTTCTTAGGGAGACACGTTAGGAGACACGCTACTGAGAAGGAAGGAGAAGTAGGGAGACTGGGAGGGTCAGGAGTCCTACTGTCGGGGGATATGTCTCGACTCTATTGTCATCAGTCAACTCCCAGGTTTAAATGACCAGCACCTGTAATTGTTTTCTGTTTCTTCCAGAGAAGAATTATCTATATGATGATATTGTAAACGAGCCGGAAAGATTTATGCTAAGATAAATGTCAAAATATGCAGCTAATTTATTTGAATAGGCTGTCTTTGATGGCAAAAGGTATAAAAACACAGCTCAAACCACAAATTTCTGTGGTTTATTTTTTAAAACGCAGCGCTTATTACTTTATAATTATCAAAATAGGATTACCAAGGTTACTTCCTAATAATGATCACCTAAAGGTATTTTCAGGACAGTTGATCAACGATGACAGCTATTAGTGCCAATCCCCACAAAAACGTGTCTATGTGCCCACAAAATAACTCGTTCAAAACAGCCCAAAGCATGGTTTCTGTCAAAGAAAGGTAAAAATTGGTTCCATTTTCATTTTAATTTACACCTAATGCACATCATTTACAACTTAGTGCAAGTACAAGTGTTAATGTTGGTATTGAGCACAGTAATGTCCAAAACACAACTTCTTTAAAACATCCGAAAATAACATAGAATTGAAATGATCTTTCCAAAATTTCCATATAATTTCTTTGTTTTTGGGATTCAAAACATTCATAATGTGACAAAGAATGTAAAAATAATCATATTTTGTAAAACCACCTACTTAATTTGAATCCAGCATTGTAAGGTAATTTCCTGCCAAGTTATCAATACTTTTACAGTAGCAACAGGTAGTTGCTGCTGTATTTGGTTACTGATAGTTAGCTTAGGTGTGATATCATTAGAGAATCGGAGTGGAGAGCTACACTGGTTAATTACTTAGATCTTATCATCCTTTAACGACATTCACCATTGCTACCTAACTTAATCTAAGAAATGTATAGGTTGTTTTGTCTTCCTCAACATGACCATTCAGTTGGTCCTCATTCTCATCTCTACATATAAAGTAGTTCCAAGATTTTACTAATGCAACTTCCACTGACCAAATAGTCCTCTTCACAGTAAACTTTTCCGTGGACATTGTAGAACGCTTTTCCTCTGAGAGTCCGCCCTGAAAATACACGAATAAATGAAATAAGTAACATTTTATTTATATCTTTTTTTCTTTTTCTTTTAGTTTCTAAACTCAAGATCTGAGGTTAAACTACAGACACTGAATAATACACTTTATATGTGCCCCCCATGTGAGGAAGTAAGCTTTTGAAGGGGACAGATTCCTTAAGCCCATCAAAACTCCTTTAATCCTCCCCTGCTCCCCACCTTATAAAAATAATAGCTTCTCAGCTATTTAAGAATAGTAATAAAATATAATTTACTCTGGTACCGTAAATTGTTTCAATTTAAGATCCTCATGAGTAAAAAATGTTTTGGACAATATAACCTTCAAGCTTAGATGGTTTACTAGGTATGTGATTGAATTTATCGGTAGCTGCCATTTACAGAGACAAAATGTCTGTCTTTTAAATAATAAGCACAGGAATAGACTCCGAGACATTTATTTAATTCTCAACTCCATTGTAAGCATTGTCAGTTATATAATCCTTTAGACCATAAGTCTTTACATACAGATTATGATAGATGATTGCTCTCATTTTTTTAAATTTAAATAGTTTGGTATTAAGTCTGTCTTTGTTTAATACTAGTTACCACTGTTCTGGCAGTGAGATGTAGCATGACACCAAACTAATTTAATATTACAACAGTCAAAATACTTTGGTAAATGTTCAACATTTTTAATATTTTCTTAATGTTGAATGGCATTTGAAAACCTCCTAGTATTTAAAATTGTAGTTAATGTAAAAAGTTTCTTTAAAGATTCTACAATTATGAATGAGTAATGAAATCCACAAAGGTAAAGATCAGGTCTGGATCTACAGGCCAAGGGAAACCACTATTTACTGAATCAGCCTTCGCGTATCAGTAATAGGGTATTTAATGTGTGGACCAAACGATGATTCCAACAATAAATGACCTTGTATATAGGGAACAAGAACCTTCAATACCAAACATTCTGATAAATAGGAAAGTCCACGGGTCGTATTTCCAATAACAAAAATGAATTATATTTACGTAAGGCCATAAAAACGTGTATGAACAGTACAGGTCAAGTACTCAATATCAAACTGCCTCGCATGTTTTTAGTAACGGTATCAATTATTCTATTGAGCAATTTCCAATAATTGAGGAAGGAAAAAAGGTTGGAACTTTTGAAGAATGCATGGAATGCAGTGAGCAAGCTGCAATCAATACTGGCTGTATGGAACAGAGTAAAGAATTCATTTCAGCGTCAAAATAAAATTCTCTGATGAAAATATCACAACACCAGAACTGTGAACAATGAAACCTGCTAGAGTGTGGTGTGGATTACTACGATCGAACATGATCTGTGTTTTAGATACTACTTTCTAATGAGATGTATTGATTGCTATGGGATATAATGATTGCTATGGGATATAATAAGTTGCTTCAGTTTACATGACAGCTAGACTTTATTAATACATGTATATGAAAGTAATTCTACCATGAATTAATGAGAATTCCGTTGTGCCCATGGGACAGCATTCACTGCTGTGAAGTTGTATGGAATGTAACCAGATCAATCTGCTAATTGAACCTATTCAAGCTTCCCAGTGATTCGTGATATGTCACGATGACTTTGATAAATAACCAATAAACTGATACAGTCAACATGTCCGACTCTTTCACAGAAACATTCACACAGAGTACAAATGAAGCAAGCAGTGCAATAAAACCATGTCTTTAATGAGTGACTGTCATGCATCAAAAAATAGCATTGGGTACAAGAAGTCACTGTATGAGTGATCAATTTATATTGGGATCCTAGCTATCAAACTTTAACAAAAATAACTGTCCTTACTGGTTTGAAAAATGGAACAGGAATTTATGATCTTCAACAAAATCTGTCCATAATCCTCATATACTATACAGCAGAATGAGGGCTTACCCCTCATATCCTTTGTGGAATGTCACCACGTGTGAACAATTATACGCATGAACTTTGACCCCCACCCCCCAATCTCCTAACCCAGTAACACCTGCTCCAAAGTCAAACTAAACTGCATGTCTGGCTAAAACTGATAGAATGAACCCTGAATAATGAAGCCTGCCCTGTGAGCTTTGGGGCCACAAGTATAGGCTGTTGTTCGACACACTCAACGTTTTACTCAGCTGTGAAATTCACCTGTCTATTCAAGTAAAGAAAGTCAGCTTTTTGTTGATTGCGAAAAATTGAGCGGGGATTGTCTGGGAGGATAAAGGTTGAAGTGTGTGCCCAGACTACCACCACGGATGGACACTGTAGTCAGGTCCATCGCATTCCACCACTAACCTAGACATCAACATCCTCAGCAAATATATACACTGTCAATGTTTTGCAATTTGAATTTCTAAAAATTCAATTCAATTGTTTGACATGCAATATTTTTGTATTGACTTTTCTTTTAAATTAAATGTTTTAAGATTGCAAACATAAATATTTTGTTACAGGATTGAAGCTGACCAGCCGGAGGGTGAAGCGTACACTGGCCCCAAATGACACGAGTCAGTCGGATCCTAACTTGGAGGGTATGCATTCCCCTAAAGAGGGCTCAGCTGGAAATTAGCATTAGAGAAGACAGGCAAAGAAAGGAGACTATGGAGTGTGCATTCAGCAAAGATTTTCTGAAATTGTCGCACGGTCCTGTGGTATAAATTTTGTCAGCTGGCACTCTGGTTTTCACCTGTCAAGCCATTACATTGAGTTTTAGTTAACAAGCAGCAAGATGGTTTACACGGATATTCACATTTAGCTGTGTAATGAATGTTATGCGTTAGCTACCACTGAGTAACACCCAACAAAGGCACCTCTGTGTTGTGTTATTTCCATATTAAAGTACATAAACAAACCTTTCAGGAGACAGTAATGCGGTACCTAGGTATTCATGGCAAACTGATGCCCTGCAGTGATAAAACCATTTTTTGTATCAAATTATTAAAGAATTGTACCTTTGTACGGGGTTTTAAGTCTACTTGGTTGATTCCATAAAGGCTGAAATATATATTTTACTTATTGTATACATGCATATGTTTTAAATCTTTAACAGAGGGTGATAAATCACACAAATCAAATCTCCCACAAAATATCCTAGTTTAGGTTACATTTCTCAAACAACAAAAAATACTTGCATTTTCAACATTAAACTATTGTATGTGGGTTTTTTTTACAATTCATCCAGTTTCAAAAAACTTCTGACAGAACCAATGTTTCTGTTTTGATAGGCCAAGAGAACTTCATGCCAATGCATATTATATGCCTGCATCATCACTTCATACAATGTCATCTACAAATATATGAAGGTAACTCTTTTGCGGTACACAAGACATTAGAAGAACGTTCCCATGTCCTGGTGGCCATTCGTTGGACTGCGTTGACATAACTCCAGAGGAAGCGAGCTAGGTACCTGACATTTTAATGAGACCAAACTGCTAACACTGCCACTACCAGGCGAATCATGACAAGGGAAATCGCAGCTCATTATAGAGGCAGAAATCTTACAAAACCTCTGATGCTTGGCCCTGTAGGTCCCTCCCTGCTTTGTGTGACATCGATGATGTATAGGTTGGTAGATTTCCCTATAATTATCCCCCTTCAACAGGTGTTTATAAGGATGGCGTCCTGTCACACAATCATCTGTTAAACCACATATAGTTAGCTTAACAAGTTAATATAAAGTCACCAACGCGTTAGTGAGCAATGCCATAACTTAATTCACTTCAGTTCAGTTTATGATTCCCTTAATGTTTTTTAAGTAAGATCGGAAAGCAAGGGAGAGGCTGATATTGATTTCTTAAACTAGACATAAACATTGGGAAAACATCAAATAGGATACAAATACCATGCTGACACTTAGCTATATTTCTAACAGCAATTGGCATTATTTTTATTATGAAACTTTTAACTGCTACATGTGACTGAAAGAGCACCCTATAGCTAGCTATATCTCTAACGGCAATTAATTTGCATTCTTTTCAATTATGAAACTTTTAACTACAATATGTGACTGATCATAAAATTGGAAATCCTGGCAGTACATAAGAGTTAGTTACTGAAATATTTTTGTCTACATACCATGAAGATTCAGCTAGTGTTTAAGTTTCATGATTGATTTTAAACTGGATATAATGCATTAATGTCATTCTTCTGATAATTTGTTAATAATTTTTTGAATAATCTTCTAATAAGAATTGTGTATAAATTGTATCAATTCTTATTTCCAAGAATGCTTGAGTCGGTATCTGGTGGTAGCTACTTTATCAAAGTGTTAAAAATATTACTGCATTTCAAAAATATTAAATCACATGTTAATTGTAAATGTCATTTGTCTTTCCTTTTTTTTTTAGAACCAATAATAACTTATTCTTCATTCGTATGCAGATTTCTAAAAATTCCATCGTGTCAAATAAACTCTCAATCAACAATTTATTGGTTAAAAAAATCTATTATCCAGACATTACAATACCATTAAACAAATTATTTTTCGCATACAATTTCAAAGGCAGCAGTTTTATGAAAAATATATCTACTTTTCAATGAATTTTGAAAATGAACTGCCATAAATAGCTTGTTCGTTAATTCAAGTGTTCGTTTTAAAATGTGTATAATAAACCAATCGCGTTCTAACCTCCAGCTAAGACAACTATGAATCATTACAACATTCCGTCAGCATATAAATGTGCATTCCCTTGTATCCTGGTCGCTAACTTCCTCATTGCACGATTTTGAACACAATGGTAAGTTTATAAACCACAAAAAAGCAAAAACTTCCTGGATATCATTTGATATTTTTATATCACAAATTTTGTTAGAAAGAGTTAAAATAATAAATTCTTAACGTAGCTAACACATAAATGCGGCATGTTCAACAACGAATTGGACAGAAGTAGATGCCACGTGTGTTGTGTTTACCTATAGCATTTACACCTGGGTCTTATCACAGTGGAATGCTCGGGGCATTTATATATATACCGGGGTTAGTCATGCTTATAGAGTAC